TCTCCAAATAAGTTTCATTGGTTTAGATCAGTGTTGTCCAAACTTGGCCACTTTAAGATGAGTGGACTTCAACTCCCAGAGCATGGCTGGCTGGGGAATTCTGGGGGTTGAAGTCCACTCATCTTAAAGTGGCCAAGTTTGGACAACACTGGTTATATGATGCTATCAGTGCAAGATCTGATGCTGGGAAAGATTGAAGGCAAAAGGAGAAGGGGATGGCAGAGGATGAGATGGTTAGATAGCATCACTGAAGCAATGAGCATGAAACTGAGCAAACTCAGGGAGGCAGTGAAGGACAGGAAGGCCTGGCATGATATGGTTCATGGGGTCACAAAGAGTCGGGCACGACTTAACAACTGAACAACAACAAAGATGAAAACATGGATCTATTGGTTCCAATTAGAAGTAAATGCCTTCTGTTCTATGTGGTTCCTTTTCCTCTGGTTGGTTCTGCTTCCACATTCAACACTACATGAGCACATATCCACTTTTGGCCCCCTACAGATTTATAGGTTATAAATGCACACAACTTGTATAGGTGCTAAATGTAACCTTGTGGAAAGGAAAAACCACAATCACACAATGGTATTAGACTTCCCTTTTTACCCAGCAAGATAACCCATGTACGTCCCTGACTCTGTTATCCTCCAGCCTGTAAAAGGACAGTTGTAAATCACCTAAACAGTACTTCCCTGAACAAATTATGGAAATCAGACATGGAAGAATGCTACATTGCTTACCAAAACCAATGATCGGCAGATCACAAAGAAATTTATATACCGATAATTTTCTAAGCTTGTCAAATCTACATTTCAACATATTGTTGATAATAATTATTGCTCTACTGTACTTTACAGGGCCATTCTGCTTCTTCAGTTAAGTGAACATTCTCCATAATAAAATTGGTGCTCTCTAATACTTCAGAATGAATGTTCAGGGGAGTGACCACTCCCCTGATTTCAGGAAGAAAAGGCAAGATTACCAGTCACCATACATGGTGCAGTTGGATCATTAGTTGAACAACTGCTGGAGATCTTAAAAATTCATGTCTTCCAATTACTTTCAGAAAGGACAGAGAAGGACAGAAGGTTATTATTAAATATCAGATACTACTTCCAGGTCAATGCCATTGAAGCTTAACTATCTCATAACCTAACGGTGAATAATAGATAATGTCCAACTAATGGTGGATAATAGGTGTCTAACTATGCTACATTAACAAACTTAAATTCAAAGCTTACAATTAAATGATAAACACAGAAAGACCTGCTTAATAAATAAAACATTACGTTTTTTTTAAATCACTTTGAGCTAGGTATATTGTATATCCTTTTTATAATAAAGTTTTCATATTGTAGTACAGGATTTTCAAACCAGTAACAAGGAGTTGAGCTATGCTCTACATTAATGCAATGTAATTCTGGGTTCTGAAATGGTGTTTGGCCTTGAATGGGCAATCAAGGTCCATCATGTTTACAAAGCACTTACGGTGGTGCTTACAAGTTTATGAATCCTTTTGAATTTTCAGTATTGCTGCATACATATGACCTACAACATGATCTGTTCTCCACCCAAGTCCTAAAACTAGATAAAGAGACCCCAATTAAACAAATAAGTCAAAAACATTATATTTGTTCATTTATTTATTGAGGAAAATGATACTTAGCTTATCAGGAAGAAGGTCAGTGTGGAAGGTGTTTGTCTGACATATTTTTATTTCTATTATATTTATATTTATATTATATATAAATTTATATCACTCTGGGGTTTTGTTTTAATATGGAGACTATTCCTTCTTAGCTGAAGTCTGATATGATCCTGCTCTCCTGGTCAAAAACTTCAGCTATCAGTGTACAAACGGATAGCTTTGAAACTAACCCACCCACCAAGCAACCAGCCTGTATTTCTCTCTTGGACCCTTCAGATTTCATTTGGGGGGGGGGGATTATTTATTTTTATGCTAAACTTCATTACACCTGTGTGTGCATGTGTCTGAAGAGAGCTAAGCTCCAAATCACTGTAAAAGTTCTTCACAGCTCCCTGAAAAATGAGCAGATTGAAGAAAGGTTGGATTGCATTTATAGTCTCTGCAAGTCTCTCTGATTAATCCTGTTGAACGTTTACAGCATCACAGGATGTCTCCTTTGAATGTCAAGGTTAAGAACATAATCCTCTAAAATTTGGCTAGCTGGCAAACTAGTTATGTTTGCGTTTTCCTATTTTCATTCTTTCCTTACCCTTCATACCCTTCCCTGTACCTCTTTCTCAAAATGAAAACAGGCCTTTTCTACTTGCTCAGATCTGAAAATCTGCTTCACACACACCCATAGAGACACAACCTCACGTATTCTTTAATTGTTGAAGAGGAATGCTTCCAGCAAGAACAGACAAGGAATTGCTCACTTTTTAATGTTCACTTGGAAGGGATATCTAATTAAATTGAATTAAACGTTTGCTTTTAAAATAAAATAAATTAAAAAAATTAAAAAAAAAATAGATGGTGCTTTTCTGCCCTCCTATATCCTGGTGAACATGTGAATTCTCATTATCAAATGTGTTTCTGATGATGTGAGATGGTATTAGTGTGATAGCCTTTTCACTTTGTAAGTCACCAGAGGATGTTAACAGGTCATCAAAATAACAATCATTTTGTGCTTGCTTTGGCAGCATATATACTAAAATGTAACAATATAGAGAAGATTAGCATGGTCTCTGCACCAGAATGCTGCAGAAATTCATGAAGCGTTCCATATTTTTAAATGGGAAATAAATAATGAAATAATGAAATAATGAATTTGAAATGTTACGATACTTGTTCATCCTCTGTTTATTTATGAATATTTCATTCTTTATCTGCTGTCTTTTTCCACCTTTTTTTTTTTACACAGCTATTTATTCTGTTCTTTAAACCTTTTAACCAAATACATTATTAATGTAATTATAACATCATCAACAACAACAACACACTGAGTTATGGGTTAGGAATAATACTCAGCTCAGCTCAGCCTGCCTTTCCTTTCTCATTGCATCCAGAACCTGCGTTGTAACTATTAAACCTCTCCCTTAACAAATACTCACAGTTAATACAGTTGTACCTTTAGAATTTCCAACCTGAGTTCCAAAAACGCTGTAATTTCCAGAAATTTCTTTTGTTACCCCAAGAGGATGAACAAACTTACCCCAAAGAGATCCTTGCCCATGATGGCTCAGCTTTCCCTCCTGTGAAAAATAGTGAATGATAAATTCTAGGTCCCATATCCCTTTTAAAGGAATAACAGCTAAATGAATATATCTCAGTAGTCATTCCACGAACCTTTGCAACACTCATAGATTCTGAAGTTGAAATTCACTTGATAGACAAGTGTGCAAGGCAACAGTATCCTTAATATAGAAAGTTTGAAATTATTACATGTTGCTATAAGGGAGTGAGGAATTTGTCCTGCTGAGTTGGGTCAAGAGAGGACCCATGAAATGACTCAGGTAATGTGACTTTTTTCCCCCCAAGTAATACTGGTGTTGGAGTCAAGCTTCCATAAATTCATGTTGAATTATGTTTCTTTTTCATTCCCTAGCTTGGTACGTTGCAGATATCTAGGGATGGACAAGTTGTTGTTTGGTGGCTTTCCATACGCAGATTACACAACTAACCACATGTCGAGACAGTATAAAATGCCACTTTTTCATGAAATAAACTGTACTAGAGATTATCCATTAATTTGATGCATCATTGCTGTTTGGACAGCAGTCAGGTGGCAGCTCCCGGCAAGCCTTGTCTGTGGTCAGAAACTAAACAAGGTACAACCTGGTTAATACTTAGCTGGAAGACCAAGAGGAAATGGCAGGGGAGTAAGCAAAGTTGAAAAAGAAGGCATTGACAGTGACAAGCCACTTCTGTATTATCGCCAAGAAAGCTGTATGGTTATATCTATGTAGTCATTAGAAGTTCAATTTAACATTTAATGCAGGAGCTAGGGGTTGTTTGTTTGTTTTTATGCTTTCAGGTCTGTCTTGACTCCTGGCAACTGCCTGGACAAGTCCCTGCAGTTTTCTTGCCTTCTTCCTAGGGCTGAGATAGAGTGACCGGCCCAAGGTTACCAGCTGATTTTGTGTCTAAGGCAAGACTAAAACTCATGGTCTTCTGGTTTCTAGCCTGATGCCTTAACCACTCCACCACACTGGTTCTCTAGGATCTAGTTTAGTCAGGATGTAAAGTAAACTTAAGCATTTTTTTTCCTCTTCCTACTTCCCTGTTTCCCCAATCCCTGTCTTAATAAATTAAATATTGTGGAAGCAGAAACTGTCTCAAAATATCTGAATGTGCTTCCCCTGGCACTATCCTACTCAGACACTTGGAAAGAACTCAGAACCTTTGCTCGAATGAGAGATAGGAATGTTCTTGTTCAGTTTTGATTCAACTCTTAGATCATGTGGTCACAAAACATCAGTGTTCTCAATTAGAGTATTAACTTCAAAGCAAGGTGGGAACTATATGGCCTCACAGGGACAAAAGCCACCTTTCTTCTTCCATTGTTCTTTGACCCACAATGAAACTACAGAATGACCAGGAACTCTTAGCCCTATCTGTATGTAAAATACACAGCCTTCTTCACTCTGTGCATTCCTACTGCAGCTGTTCTCCCTACCCTCACCCCAAAAACATTAAATGCAGTATAGGGCATCAAAAGGTGCCTATGCTTTTGAAAAAGGAAACACCTATGGGTTTCTAGTTCCTTTGGGGCTGTATATCAAAGTATTTGTAAATCTCACTACACTTTTAACATTGTGCTGGGAGATACAAGGCAGTTGCCACAATCAACTGGGAGGGCACAGTGAATGTTCTGGAATAACCCTGATGCCACTGCACTGCTGAAGCTAAATAAACAAGATCAGGAATCCACACCTCCTTGCTCGTGGTCCTCATGCTAGGGACCACCTGGTCTCCTAAGATACGGGGAGTATGGAGATAGACTTGAGTAAAATTTTTGGCAGCTACTAGAAAAACTTCAGCTTGATCCTCACAGAGAGCAGGGGATGAGGAATAAACTCAAGATTGGCCTGCCTTTATTGTCTTGTGAATAAGAGGGAGGGAATAGTGATGTCAACATGATTTTATTAAGATCTCTTTTCTTCTAACCTGTAGGCAGAATTTAACTGGACACAGATCTCCTAAAAGCATTGCAAATTTCATTGTACATTTATATTTTCTTCAGTAAATAAAGTTAATCTCAAATGAAAGAAAAGAAATTGACCTTTTTC